AAACAAATCACATGTCTTAAATAGAGAAGTCAAATCCTTATCTAATGTTATATAAAAATTGCTGAAAAAAAATGTCAGATTCATCAAGAGAGATATATTTTAAGTATATCCAATACAATACTTGAATAATTGACCAATTATTATTATTTATTTTTTTGCAGATTGAACTAATCATCAAGATAAAATATTAAGTCACCATAAGATAATCATGCCCTTTCGAACACATGATATACTAAATATACTCAATACAATACTTAAATAATTGATCAATCATTTGCAATAGCAAAGACACAAAAAAACAAAAAGTAGGAAGGAAACAGTTGGATCCTAGACCTGCCTTAAAAGGCAATAACTGTCCTTAATCTTTATATGCTTTTTTAAATTTTTTATTGCTGAAGTATTTTCAATCTCCTTATATAATAAAATGATTATTATAAAAATTTTTTTAATATAAATAAGCTAACTCCAATTAAAATGATAATGATGGGCACTTTGCTCAAAATCAAGATTTACACTATAAAATCTTTTTTTATAGATGAATATGTAATGATGCAGATCTTTATTGATACTTGTGTAATTAAAAATACATCAACACTATGAAATCTAATTTAAAAATATATTCAAAAATAATAAAACATATAATTTCATTATAGTATAGGTTTTGTAAAATATTATTTAATGCCCGTTCACGATAAAAAAAAAAAAAGGTCTTGTAAAATATATACAGAGAGACCTCCCTAAATGCACCCTCTATAAATGCACTTACTATATTTTCTCTCTCTAAATGCACGGTCAAGCTTGGTCCCAAGTACATAGAACTCTTAATAAAATTACCTCCATAAATGCACACCCTCTATAAATGCACATTTTTCAAAAATTTTCCTATGGTCCCGAGGGGTGTGCATTTAGAGAGGGTTCACTGTACTATATATAAGATTATTAATGTATTAATTATAGATTGGATATATATTTATTTAATAAAAACTTATATATTTAAAACTTATTTGTTAAAAAAAAATTTTTTTTAAATTAGCTTTTTTGGATTTTTGTTTATATGTTTTTATAATTTTTTTATATTAAATATAATTGTTTGCTTATTATTTAATATTCTTTAAACAAATTTAAAAAAAATTATTATTATTATATTTAATAATATATTAAAAATTATATAAAATAAATAATTATAAAAACTTTTTTTATTAATTTTTTTATTAACTTAAAAACAAATATTTTCAAAAATTTTTATATTTTTATAATAATAAAGTCTATATACTTTCTTTAACAATACTAATTTTTTAATTAACAAAACAAATAGTAATTATTACTTGTTTATTTTTTTTTTCAAAATATTTTTTTTAATTTATTTTTGCAATTAATACAAGAAATCTACCTAAGAGATTATAATAAAAACACCTTTCTAAAAAGAAAATTAACAAGAAAAAATACTTTTAAAAAACTTTTAAAAGATTTAAGAATTCAAAAAATAATAAAAATAAAGTTTTTAATTTTTTTATTATTTCTTTAGCTTTTTACTTTTTTTTTTTTAAGCATGTTTTTTTTTTCAATTTTTTTGAAAAATTTTATTTAATTTAGTTTAATCTTGAATTTTTGATTATATTAAATCTCTTGAAAAATAATTGATCAAGATTATAAAGTAATTAATTATTTCAATTACAAAAAAAATAAACAAGATATGTTTTTTATATATTTTTAATTATGCAACATCAAATTAATAATATAATTGATTTTTAAAAGAGTTAATTAATTTTTAATTAAAAAAGTAATATAAAAATATAAAGTAAAATTGAAGTTGTAAGTAAGAGAAAAAATATCCTTTTGTTTTTCTTTCCTTTTTTATTTTTTTCTTATTTTTTTTAAAGATAAAAAGTAGATATAAGATTCAAATCTTATTCCAATTTGACAAGTTAAAATAATGATATTTATCTTGAAAATAGTTAAAAAAAATTTTTTTTAAACTATTCAATAATTAAATAAAACAATAATTTCAAAGATATAGCTTAAGAAAAAAAATCAATAATAAAAAACCAATAAATATTTATTCTGGTTAAAAGTTTTTGAGTATAAATTTCAAAAAATATTTTTTTGAAAGTATTTTTAAATATTTTTGGATAGAAAAATAATATTGTCGAGTAAGTATTTTAAATATTTATTATAATAAAATATAATAAGAATTTTATTTTGCAATATATAATAAATAAAAAATAAATAAAAACAATTAAATAAAAAATTTTTAATAAAATCTATATATTTGAGAATATATAGTATAATATATATATATATATTTATTTATATTTTAAATATTATTGTTAAAATTATTTCAAAATTTCTATTAAAAAATTTTAATAATTATTTAAATTAATTGTATATGATATAAAAAAATTTGATATGAATTTTATAAGAGATAGGACTCCTAATGATACTACTTTGATACCTGTTTAATACTAGTTTGATACTTAAATTTATTATAAATTTATATGAATGGATTACAATTCGTATATTAAATTTACTATAGATCAATATCATTTCGATACCACTTCGGTATCGGTTTGATACTTTTTGGAGCTCTAATAAGAGATATAAAAACTTTAATATAAAATAATATAATTTATTGAAGAAACTAGATAAATATTATAAAAAATCAAATATAAATAATAATAAAATTTCCTATATACAGTTTGTTTAAAAAGTCTTTGAACAAATATTTTTTATAATAAATAAATAAATATTAATATATTTAATATAAAACTTTAAATATATTTTTTTTTAAAATATAAAAAACAAAATATTAAGTTTTTTTTAATATTTTATTAATAAATTTATTATAAAATTTGATTTTTAAACTAAAAAAATTTTGATTAAAAATTTTATTAAAAAATTATTTATAAAATTAAAAAAAAATAATTAATTAATAAAAAAATTATAAATGTTTTTTATAATATATAAATTAATTTTATAAAATTATTTTGTTTTTTATTTCATAAAATTAATTTTAAAAATTTTTTAAATTTAGATTTTAATATTAACTTTTAAAAAATTATATATTTTTTATTAAATTTTAAAAATTATTTAAAAGTTATTTTTTATTTAATTTTGATTTTATTTTACAAATTAATAAATCAAAACTATTATATATAATTTATTTGTTTATTTATTATAAGATAATTAAATTAATACTTTAAAAAAAAATTTTTTTTTTGATTATCAATTAATTTTCAATTAATTTAATAATATTAATAAAAGTCTATTAAATAAATTTGTTTTTTATATTGTTATTATTATATATTTAAATTTTTATTTTATTTTATTAATTAGTTATTAAATTATGAATATAAATTAAATTAAAAAATTTGTCCAAAGACTTTTTAGATGAACTGTATATACAATAACATATTAATAATATTTGATAAGCTTGTAAAGATAAAAAAGTATATGTTAAATAAAAATATAATCTTTAATAAAGAACTAAAAATGTAATGTTAACTAATATTGAAGAAGATAATTATAAAATTCATTAGATTTATATAATTTTGAAAAAAATATATTTGAATATATAAAATATTTCTTTTATATATTAGAAAAAATATAAATAGATATTTAAGAAAATTATTTATTTAATATAGAAAAAAGAAAGTCAACTAATTTATTTGTACTTTTTTGATTACAAAATTAAATTATATATCATATTATAATAGGACTTAGGGATAACTTTTATTGCTAGAATAAATAAATTGGCTATATTTTGTGCTGTAATTTTGATGGATCCAGTTATTATAACTTTTAATAAGAATTCTGGAATTTGTATATCAAATACATTAATTATTATTATTATTATTATTTTCTTTAATGATTACAGATAAATCGTGCCTTAAGTCTTGCTCTACTCTTTTATTATATGGAATTTTTATTCCAGTATTTTGTGCTTGACCGATAACAGGATTTACCTCATTTTGTATATAGAGGAAGATTTATTTTGTATTAATCCTTGACTCTGAAGTTTCTTTTCCGATTTCTTTCTCTTATTTCATTACTAATCTGTTCTTTGTATACCCGATCCAGACACTCGATCTCTTTATAATCAAAAGATTTAGCTTCTATGCAGATTGGCGATGTGGAGCATTGAGTCTTTGTCTCCTGGCATACATTTTCAGATAATTCCGAAAAAGCGTTATCAGATACATCAGAATTTAGAGCATTATGGAGTTCATCAGAATTTGAAGCGTTATTAGATATATCGGATGCAGAAGTTATCATCACATCGTAAGTCTATCTGTTCATGAGTATCATTAGAATTTTCCGTTTCGGTAGATGTAATATTAACTGAAAATTGATTGAGATATCTTATTTAACAATAAAGTTGTTCTTATCATCGGTTTGCGATTGCTTTTGTTCTAATTTCGCAACTCTAGCTTTAAGCTCGGAATTTTCAATAGCAGTATCTTTATCATACTGCCCAGTTTCACAAATCTGGATTCATGTTCTTCCAAAGCTTGTTTTAATTTTACGTTCTCAGCTAAGTCCGATATTCTCGGCCTCAACTTCAAGGTGTTGATTGACCATTCGACATTGTTTTATTACAAAATGTGGATATATTCAAAATATTAACCACACAAAAAATATTTTTAAAAATCGGGTTAACACGTCTTTGCTTTATTTATTGTAATAAAATCAAAATCGAAACAATCAAATCTATCTATTGTTTCTACACTATTATCTACACTAAAAAAATTTTCGTTTCTTTAAACTATCAATGCCAACAAACTATCTCAACATTAATTATAATCCGGTTTCATTTTCATAATGCAGTGTCAAAAACGAATGTCTTATTCTCGGAAATCTTTACGAAAGAGTAATCATAAATTCGTAAGCACTGAGGTTGATTCATTGAAGTGCACAGTCACAACCAAAATATTCATACCTTTGCCAAAAATAAAATTATTTCTTGATGATAACGGTGGATGGATAGATGATGAGGAGCTGCCATGTATAAGGGACTAGGATCCCAGCAAGATTTCATACTCCCTCTTCGTCTCTATTCCACAATTCAATCTTCGCAGGTAATTATTTAGTGTTCCATAAAACCATAAAAACGATAAAGCAAAATTAATAAAAGTTCACCCGAATCCTAGACTTTAAAAATCAATAATAAAATTTCATCTGAAAATACGACCTTTATTTTTATAGAGCCTATTAAGTCCATTACTGGAACGTTCCCGTGTAAGACCTGCTAAACCTACCGCTAATTACCACTCTGAATCCTTACAGATCCAGGCAACGTTACGTGGCAACTACGGTAAAGCAAGTGTGGGAAGAAGTTCCCCTCTGCCGAGCTGTCAAAATCACCGCTAATTACCACTCTGAATCTGAATCCTTGTTAAACCTACCGCTAATTACCACTCTGAATTCTTACAAATCCAGGCGACGTTGCGTGATAACTACGATAAACAAGTGGAAAGAAGTTCCCTTACAGATCCAGGCGACGTTGCGTGGTAATTACGGTTGACAGATCACAATCACACGCGTAAGATTGACAATGACACGTGTAAGATTTTCTTAGAATCAAACATGCCACATCCAGTAGTTGATTCCAACTTTAAAACATATCGCCTTAAGCGTAAGAAACGCAGTTTTTTCACAGACACAGACGCCTGACAATGGTCATTTCAACGTTTCTATTCCTCTGCTATTCACTCTGATGACACGCCAAAAACATTTAATGAAGTTTTTGACAATCTAGAAGCATTTCTTGGTCTAAGAAATTATATTTTACGACTAATTATAATATCAAACAAATCTTCGAAAAAAAAAAATGAGTCATACTGAAGAATTCCTTGGACACGAAAGTCATAAATAAATTTTGGAAAAGTTATTCTATATTACAAGTGGACTGCCAGTCTGAAATTTATTCGAACAGCAAGAAATGTTCCAAAGTCAATCGTGAACTTTGTGAAAGATCTAATTGAATTCAACAATACTAAAGAGTTCGAGAGAATACGGCAAGCTTACGAACAGAATTTCGAAGCCCACGTACTTGCAACCATTTCAAGTGGGTCAGTGACAAAGAGCGAATTGGCAATAGGTTATATGATACAGGCGAATGAAATCTTGAACGGCACAATGACGAAGACCCAATACTGGTATGATTAATTTTAATATAGTATAATCAATAAATAGTATCGTCAATTTAATCATTACATTTTTCATATTTCTTTAGAAGGACCCTAATAAAGTGTATAATGATGACGAATTTACGGAAGAAAGTCCAACATGCAAAAATAATCGGAAAAGGAAACTAGGAGGTGACGAATTACCAGGTTACGATGGATTAGTATTTCTATTTAGTGATTCGAACGAAGATACCATTATAGAGAAAATTGACGATAATGCCCTTGAGGAAAGAAAATTGCCACTAGCGAGTGATAATAAGTTAAGATCTTAATGTTTCATTCGTGAGTATACAGTCTATTCAGTAAGCACTGTTATTAAAAATTTTTTGAATTTTTATTAACTTTAGTTATATTCTATCCTATATTATCATAATTTATTATTATTTCTTAGTTTTACATATATTTTTATATTAGCAAAGTAATATTTTTTTCAAGAAATGCTGGAATGATCGAAGCTCTTAAAAACGAATACTCCTTACAACCTCTTATTGCTCATCATAAAAATTCTCAAAACATCTATAGTATTTCAAACGGCGCAGCTAATTCGGAGCTTCATAGCTCAAAATCCAAGATGTAAAGCTTTTTTGTAATTCTAAGTAACTATTTGCGGAAAGACTAGAGGAACATTTTTTGTTAAGAGCTCAAAAATGATTATTATAGTATAATTTTGAGTAATTTCGCTTTTTGTCTTATGGATGAGAATTTTCTTTGTAGATCATTCAAGTGTAACAAAAATAATTCTTTAGTTATTTTTTGTGTAAAATAGATGAAACACACATAAATAATTACAGTAGAGTAATCAACAATTGACCAAAACATTATAAAAAGGTTACATTTTCTCTCAGCCTTGAAGGGAGAACAACTTGAACTATAGTATAGAAACGTTGAATTCTTATATTATTTTGTAATGTTTTTATAATTTTCTTTAATAAAATTATTATTTTATTACATTTTTGTTATATTTATATTTTTTTTCTTTTGAAATTTATTTTTGTATATTATTATCTTTTGATTCTAATATCAGGATAGAGTTGTAAAATCTGATTGAAACAATAATATTCAATTGTTCATATTAATTTATTTGATAGTGTTTGAAACATAATATATGTTGAATAAATTAAATTATTGAAGTCTGTCAGGTGAAGGACTGAAAGTTTCAATATATTAAAATTGTAAATTTTCATTTTCTTTTGATTTCTGTTGATATTTCTTTAAATATTTTCTTTTCTTTTTCTTTATTTTGTTTCTATTTTCTTGTATTTTATAGAAATATACTGTTCACTGCAAATCTAAATTGGCACATTTCTCATTTTGCTTTTTCAAGACAGTAACAGTACATTATCTATTCTCAATAGAAACCATTCAAATTTATATATAATGATATATTGAATATATTTCAAATATATCAAAATAAAATTTCTAAAATTTGCAAAGTATTTATATAAGTTTGATGTTTTTTTTATAATTGTGATCTGATTATTAATGCATTTCTTTTATCTTATTATTTTATAGCTCTATATATTGGAGAAACTCAATCTGACTAGATAAAGTCTATACAGATGTAAAAAAATTATAAAAAACAATTTACAATAGTTATTTCAAGATTTTTCTAATTATATAAAATAAAAATATAAATTGGCCCCAAAAAATATTCAGGATTACTTCAATATGGTTGCAAAAAATTTGACAATAGCAGTAAAAATAGATATCTAAAGCATTTTAATACAAATGTATAATTTTTGTATATATTAGTTTTATATATTTAATTATTTGATATTATATTTTAATTTTATATTATCATATAGGAAAAATAATATAAATTTCTTCCAAGGAATTCTAACAAAAGAATAGTTTAAAATGATATTATTATATCTATTGTTTTATGGAACATTTATATATGATTATATAAAATATGCCTAGTAAGACATTTTTCTCTTTATTAAGGTATTGATATTTGATCTAACAATTTTTTTACATATAGAAAAGAAATTCAAACTATTTGACCTGTGGGTCCATAACACAGTGGTTAGTGCTCCATAGGTCAGATCACAAGATATCGGTTCAATCCCATATGAAGATAATTAAATAGACTGACATAGTATATGGCACCATAGCCAATTATGTGCTGTTTCTTATAAGAAGCCATTTCATATACTAATCCAGCGGGCGTTGAGATTGTGATCTTTCTGTTAAGGTGAAGTGGTGTAATGATTGTCTGGTTGATGTTACGATGGTTGTTAAATGAAAGGTATTACCATATATTTGGATGTACAGACTGGGCTATACTCCATCTTATCTAACCCTTATTAACTACCAACCACAATCACTTATTTGAATATACAGACTGGGCTGTGCTTCATCTTAACCAATCCCAATCTGCCACTTTCTTTCCCCTTTCCTACTGACTAATGAATAAGGAAACTTTGAAGAAAGCACTGAACGGTACTAAAGTTTTGTGGAATATAACATATTATATCATCTTTGCTTGTAGGAGTTGCGTCCTGCTTGACATTTATGTCCCTAGATTTGACAGCCAATGCCAACTAGTTCCGAACTGGAGTGTCTACTAGGAGATTTAGGAGTCACGCCCCATTTGGCCACAAGAGCCCCTAGATTTGACAGCCAGTATCAACCAGTGAATCAAAACTGGAGTATTCACTAAGGAGTGCAAGCCCACAGTGTCGGGGCCTCTTCTGTTATAGGATAAAGGTGCGAAGAGGTGTAATGTGATAAGTAACCTTAGAAAATAGTTAGCAATATTAACTGCCTTTACAAATTGGACCAGTAAATTAGGTGGTTTAAACTAGTGATAGGACTTCCACCCCCTAGTTAGGTCCCCCCAAAAATATGAACCCACTTCATGAGTATTATTAGTATCGCTGGGGTAATAAAGTAGATAGACTAGCATTTAGCTGTTATAATAACAATAGATGATATTTAATGTAAAACTAAAATTGATTATATTCAATAAAAACCTTATATTTAATGCTATTCTATTATAAAAAAAAAAAAAAAAAAAAAAAAAAAAAAAAAGGAAATTCAAACTATTTTAAGCAATGATTTGCATAACAAAAAATCAGATCCATTCAAAAAAACAAGAATGGATAAAAAGATCGATATTAAAGTTATATTGTTAAAGGTATCAAATAAATTTAAAACTTTATTTGAAGAGATTTTAGATAAAATAGAATCATTTGAAATTTCTATAGCTTGTTACAAAAAATGATTTCTAGATAAAGTGAAATTAATAGTAATGTATATAATAGTATAAATCGTCTATTAAAAGAATATAATTATATATTAAATGAAAAAAGATCAGAAATTATAGTTTTTGGCTAGTTTTAATTTAATAAGTTTGATATAAGAAGAATTTTAATAAACTTTTACTAATAAACTTAATTTTAGATTTAAAATTGAATTTTTATGCTATGGATTGAAAAGGTTTAACATTTACAGATTTTGATTAATAGATCAATATAGAATATCTATTGATATTAATAATTATTTCACTTATTGACTCTAAAATAAGTACATTATTTTTTTTTATAAGTATCATATTTAATTTATTTTTTTTATTCTTTTATTATTTTTATTATTACTGATTTATTATATATTATATTTTATTATTTAAATTCTTTATTTATTCATTCTTTTATTTTTTGTTCAATAAATTCTAATATTATTTATTTATAATAAAGATTTTTAAAGTATTTATTTAATACTATTATATTTCTTAAAAAATTCTATTTATTAAATTTATGGGTTTTTTTTCAAGTATATACTGTATATATTATTATATAATTCCTATACAAATCCTTCACTAATCAAAATTTATTTATTTAATATATTGAATTATTACTAAATTATATATAATTATATAATTAAATTCAAACTTATTTATATTATTTGATATTATTCAGTATTAAATCAATATTATATTTAATAAATATTTATTAATAATTCAACTATATCATAATAATATTTGATATATTTATAACTTAGTTATAATTTAATATATTTTAAGTTTAAAATTTGATAAATTTATATATATAGTATATATTTTAATTATAACAATTTAAGCATTGAGCCATAATATAATTCTGAAAAATTGTTAAATTATGCTAAGTTATTGATTCAAGTATTGAACCATAATATAATTTTAAAAAATTATTAAGTTATATTAAGCTGCTAATTAATTTAAAGTTGTATCTTATTAGTATTAAATATGAAATTATTATCCATTATTTATTTTAATAATATTATATTAAAATTATAAAGAATTTTAATATACTTATTTGATATATAAGAGATTTTGTTTTTCTTTTATTATTTATTTACTATTTTTTTTTTTTTAACGGGTAGCTTACACCTTGTTTATTGAATATTGTATTGAGCATATACAAACTTTGTAAATTACAAAATTTTAAACTCTATCTATTCTTTA